AGAAACAATGGAAATGCAAACAATTGATGACTGCTGCAATTTTAAAAAGGAACAGGATGAGGGTATAGTTGGCAGGACTTGAACCTGCGGGAGAATACCCCAGCGGATATGTAGGCGATCGCCTTAACCACTCAGCCTTGACTACAAGACTGCCTGTTCTCCCATGTCCTCATGCCTAGTACACGTGTTGTGCATTCAGATGAAACTTTCAGCAAGCGATAGCTCAACGACAAAAGCTGTGGCTCCACAAAGAGTCTCTCATGCCCGAACACAGACTTGAACCCTGGACCCTCTACCGACTCCGCTAAAGCTGGGGAACAATAGCCTGTTTTGGAAGGGGAAGAAAAAAGCACAAGAAAAATAAGAAAATTTGAGAAATTGAGAAAGAAAGAAGCGAAATTAAGGTTATATTTTGTATTTTTTGCCCACCAGAAACTACTCAATGCATATATAACAGTACTAGTTCAAGAAATATGTCCATAAATAACACTTTGGGTAGATCACAAGGTTCAATCCCCGACTGGAGCAGGTATCTAACCAGGTTTAGTAATGGGTCGATCATGAACATTTCGTTCATTTTAAACGAATCTTCAATAGGATTTGGGAACTACAAGTCCTCTCAGGGAGTGATTTGTTAATTTGCGTGTGCGTACATTTGTGCAGGTGGTATCGTTATTTCAAGTCTTCATCACATTTCGTGTCGTTCATCGCAGAAAGGCAGAAACCAATCATATGCGTTTAGAGCCGAAAAAGATTTGATCCGTTCACCTCTTGAGTCCTCTATCGGGTCTGAGTCACTCGTTCATTACGGGCCAATCATATGCGTTTAGAGCCGAAAAAGATTTGATCCGTTTATCTCTCGAGTCCTCTATCGGGTCTGAGTCATTCGTTCCGCACGGGCCAATAATACGCGTTTAGAGCCGAAAAAAACAATTGATCCGTTCATCTCTTGAGTCCTCTATCGGGTTTGAGTCATTCGTTCCTCACAGGCCAATCATACGCGTTTGGAGCTGGAAAAAGAATTGATCCGTTCATCTCTTGAGTCCTCTATCGGGTCTGAGTCACTCGTTCATCATGGGCCAATCATACGCATTTAGAGCCGGAAAAAGAATTGATCCGTTCACCTCATGAGTCAGGTCTGAATTTGGAGAAAAGCTCAGCCACTGCACTTGACACCACCAACACTGGTTTGAAGTGCAGCTCAGGTTAAATACTCTCTCTCCTCTCTAGAAAGATCCAATGATTGCTACCAGGTGGACACAGTTACCTGCAGGGAGAGAGAGAGGAAAAACACAATGCTCATTGTCCACCAAAAGATATGTCTCAGGACGCAAGCCCTGGGATAACCGCTATCACCCTCCTGGAGCCTATACAGGCAAGAAATCCATTAATTAGTTGTTATGGAAGTTATTCATTAAGCTTTTAATGTACTACACAAAATGGTAATCGAAATGTTTATTTTATCATTAGTTTTATTTAATATATGTTTTTTTATTGTTTATTTTTTTAAGGTGAATTGCTGGGAATGGAGCACCTTTACAGCCAGACCGGCAAAACCCTGATTCCGGTGCTCCAGAACCCAGAGGAGGAAGACAGGCTGGTGGAGGAAGTAGATGATGAGGATCTACAAGATGACAGGTTTGAGGAGGAGATCATGGAGGACATCACAGTTCCAGTGCTGTATGAGGATGACCCCTGCCGTGATCTCAGAAACAGCCCCTCATCTTCGCCTCTGCCTCAGTCCCCAGCATCACTGGCTGAGCCGTCCACATCAGCTGGTGGAGAAGGACAGCTTCCTAGCCCAGCCCCCTCAGTGCCGTCACAGCCATCCAAGTCTGGAGACAGTCTCTCTGTTGAGGCTCAGGTAAGATATATTAAGAACTTAATTTTATTTAGTCTTTTTTTATTCCACATATACTAAATTTATTCTGTATTTACCAGGGAGTAGTCATTGGACCTGATGGCATTGCTGGGTGGGACAAGGTGCAGGATCTGGCTGCTTATTTGGTAGGTCTTCGTGAGGCTCCTTACCTCACTGACCTGCAGGTGACAGAGGCCATCCAGCTGTGGACAGCTCTCCTGGATGTTGATAAACAGCGCATCAACTACCAGCCTCGACATCAGCCTCAGCTGACACATGGGCGCTTTAAGGCACCGAAGCGCTCCGGAGTCACTCCAGGTGTGGAGAGCGTCAAGCGCTGTCTGATTGGACATCCTGAGGGTCCCTGTGCCTAGCACCAGCCGCTTGGTTGAGGCCATTTGTACAAAGCTGTGTGCCGTACACAAGTCCACTTCCAAGAAGGCTTGTGTTCGCACGCACAGGTGGTCTAAAATACTGACCGATTACCACCACATCCGGGATCTGGTGCTTGGCAGTCGCAGGCTGATGGATGAAACAGTGATCCAGCTTTTTGAGCTACATCAGAAGACGCTCATTCAGTGGTAAGCAAAGCACATTATTTTCTTTAAATTACCTGAATACTTCCAAATTAATATATATGAATGATACATATCATTTATTATCAGGTTTCAACGAAGGCAAAAGGATCAGGAAATGAGTGTACTCCCTCAAGGACTGACTCCACTTGATCCAATTGCTGTGGCAGATACGCAGCTTCCTTTGCCGAGGGGAAAATTGGACGAGGCACCGACAACATCAGGCCCCAAACACCAGTTTGTCTTTCCTCCAAATAAAGAAGGACAGGCACCTCTTCTTCGACCTGGTCGAAAGTCTGCTTCTGCAACCACCACAGTTTGCTTCTTCCTGCCGGATGCCACCACGGTGTGCTCCTTTCCACCGGCCCCCATGACGGTATGCCCAATCGCGCCAACCCCCACCACAGTCTGCCACATTGCACCAGCCCCTACCATGGTGTGCCCCGTCACACCGACCTTCACCACAGTGCGCCCCATCTAGCCAGCCTCCACCACAGTGTGCCCCATCATACCAGCCTCCACCACAGTGCGCCCTATTGCGCCGGCCCCCACCACAGTGCGCCTCATTGTATCTGCCCCCACCACGGTGTGCTCCTTTCCCACCGACCCCCAGCACGGTGTGCCCCATTGCACCACCCCCCACAGCACCAGGTGTTGTGCAGCCCATTTCAGGACCTGGATCATTGTTTGGCACACTTGTTTTTAACCCAGACATGAGTGTGTCAATGGTGATTCCATCATTTGCTGCACCAACATCCAGTGCAGTCCCAGCTTCACCTGCACCTGCTGTTCCTCCACCTGCACCTGCTCCACCTGCACCTGCTGTTCCTCCACCTGCACCTGCTCCACCTGCACCTGCTGTTCCTCCACCTGCACCTGCACGGGAACAGGAGAAGGAAAGTAGAGTCCACAAAAGGAAGTTTGTGCGTGCAGTTACTTTTAATGTTTGCAGCAAATGTGGGCAACCAAAGACTAAGGAGTTTGGCCATAGCCGATTTGGTAATGCCACATTTTGCCTGCAAATTTCAAATGGCAAATCCTTAGAGAACTGGTTGGCAGAACAGGACCAGCAAAATAAAGGACAAACTCCAGCTTCAGAATAAAGGACAAATTGCTGTATATATTTTTGTAAATGTTACATGGGTACTCTCTCTCTCTCTCTCTCATTTTATTTAATTATTGTGTGTTAATATTTAGCATTTTAAAGTGGCACTTATAGGCCCACTCTTATTTTGTCTTGTGTGTACTTATTTAATATTTGTGTATATTTTATGTAAAAATATATTTATATTTCTTAAAAAAATAACATTTTATACATTGCTTAAATACTATATTTTATATATTACGTGCCCCCACTCTTGCGTTTTATTATTTATTTATATTATTGTTTAATATATTGTGTATATAAAAATAAATATATATATATATATTGTTTTTATATAATGTGTATAATAAATAAATATATTTATAAATAGTATTGTTTTAATATTTTATATGTGCATAATAAATAAATATATATTGTATTGTTTTTATTTATTGTATATTATATAGTTTATATATTAAGATATGTTTTTATGTTGTTTTTTACATTTTTTAAATTGTTTTGCGATTTTAATATTTGTATTCATTTTAATAAACCATTTTGCATATTACTTGTTTTTGTGTGCATTAATTTAAAGTTATTACATAAAGAAATATAACATATATTAATATATATATATATATATATATATATATATATATATATATATATATATATATATATATAGTATAGTATATATTTATATATTAATACATAAATATATATAATATACTTATATATACATAAACAAGCATACATATGTTTAATTGAAACATTTTCATTCATTTTTAATTAACGTAATATGCTTTTTAAGAACAATATCCACATAATAATAGTAATATCAATATAATTGCCTGTGTTACGTCAGTAAAATTTCAATAAGAGCGCAGCTGATTGGCTCCGCTGAAACCGACATTGATTGGATATTGTGTTACACAGATCGTGTGTTCGAATCCAGCACGCAAAAAATGACATCTAGAATGACATGCAATATGCAACCAAAATACCACATTATGCACAGTCACAAAGCCGCGAACACTACTGCAAGCGAAATTTGACGCATTTTTTCGTTTTTTTGCGGCTTGTTCGCTTGCGAGTGAGCGAGAAGATTGGGCCCCTTCCTATGCTAAGCGAGCGCTCTACCATTTGAGCTAATTCCCCTCGGAAAAACTCAAATTGGTAGTTTTTGGCGTGGTCAAAAAAATAAAAAAAGATCACATCTGCTCTGTGGTGGCCTCTTTGCCCTGCACGCCGTTTAGTCTATGAAATATTAAATTGTGAAATGGCAGCTGAAATATCTCAGTTGGGAGAGTGTTAGACTGAAGATCTAAAGGTCCCTGGTTAGATCCAGGCTTTGGTAAAATAGTGTTGTTTTTCTGTTTTGGGCACAAGAGTTAGGTGACTGAAAGTCACCCAAAAAGCCTTGCTGCTGCACCCTTAAGTCCAACTGCTTCCACTTGACCAAAAAGCTATCTTACTTCCAGATGGTCACGTCGCTTCTGGTAATGATTGAATCAGGAGAGTTTCACTTTAAACCTTTTCGCTTTAAAAAGGCGACGTGGTCAAATTAGTGCCTGGAATAGTGCGCTTTTCTTTTGAAGGCCCTACCTGGTCCTGCTCCAGTAAACGTGTGAGGAGCCCTGCATGCCAAATGACGAGTTACTCAGAAATCAATGCACATTGGCACTGCCTTGTATTGACATTCTGCTACTTTCTGGCAAGGCCGTTTTCTTTTCTTTTTTTTTTTTTTACTTATTTTTCTCTTTACCCCGGGCAGCACCAATTAGAAGACTTGAGGTTCCATGGTGTAATGGCTAGCACTCTGGACTCTGAATCCAGCGATCCGAGTTCAAATCTCGGTGGGACCTTGTTTTTTTACCAGCACCGCACAAAAAAAGCTGGAATAGCATTCTTATCTCTTGAAGGCCGGAAAATGACAGTTACTCTGAGCTTTTTAGGAAACATGGCAGAAAGTGGCAGGTTAGCTCAGCTGGTTAGAGCGTGGTGCTAATAACGCCAAGGTCGCGGGTTTGATCCCCGTACTGGCCAAGCTTTTACCCTTTAAGGCCTCAGAGGCATTTCAGGATTCTGCTTAGTCTCACAGACATGAATGCTGCAGGATACTTGTAAAAGGGCAGATGAAATAGCTCAGTTGGGAGTGTGTTAAACTGAAGATCTAAAGGTTCCTGGTTCGATCCCGGGTTTCGGCAAAACAGTGCTGTTGTTTTATTTTGTGCACAAGGGGCAGGTGACTGAAGGCCCTACCTGGTCCTGCTCCAGTAAACGTGTGAGAAGCCCTGCATGCCGAATGACGAATTACTCAGAAATCAATGCACATTGCCACCGCCTTGTATTGACATTCTGCTACTTTCTGGCAAGGCCGTTTTATTTATTTATTTTTTTACATTTTTTTTTCTTTAGCCCGGGCTGCACCAACTAGAAGACTTTTATTAAGCTTGGCAGTAAGTGGCCGGTTAGCTCATACTGCCACCTGTAAGTCGTGGTTATTCTTGGTTAAACCGGCCAATCACTTTGTGAGCTGGAACCAAGATTTGTTTTACTCTTGGTTTTACCAGGCCAATCACGTTCCAAGCTGGAACCAAGATTCACCCTATTCTTGGTTAAGGCAGCCAATCGTGTTCCGAGTTACAATGAACGCTATGGCCAATCAGAGCCCTTATACCATCCATGATTTGTATTGTAATAAAAGATTTCGTCGCGGATTAATTCGGACACCAATTGCAAAGTAAGTATTTTTTTAACAAGGTGGTTTAAATAAATAACCATTACAGTTACGTTAATTACTACAACATAATTATTATATGATTGTTATAGATGTTTTATAATGTTATTTGGTAAGATTAATGTTAGCCGACCAAGCAAACTGTAGTTTTACTACAAACATTTTAATGCAGTTATTAATTAATTAATATGGATCATGCATGATTGCATCACTAATAATAAACCAACACTATAAGGGTCACACATCAATACATCACTAATAATAATGTTATTATTATTAGTGATGGATTAAATTGTGACCCTTATATTATTGTTTTATTATTAGTGATGCAATCATGCGTGATCCATATTGTTATATGCTTTATGATTAGTGATGTATTATGCGTGATCATTATTAGAATAGTTTATGATTAGTGATGTAGTGATATGTGAGCGTTATTATAGTATTTGTTTATAATTAGTGACTGATGAAATGAGCCTTATATTTATTATTAGTGTAGTGATTCATTAATGTGTGAGAATAATGCACGGGCATTATTGTAACTATGGTAGTAAATGACAATATAAAGTGAAGTAATGTATAATAACTGCATTAAAATGTTTGTAGTAAAACTGTACAGTGTGCTTGGTCGGCAAACATTAATCTTAACAAACAACGTCATATAACATCTATAACAATCATATAATAATTGTGTTGTTGTAATTAACGTTACTGTAATGGTTATTCATTTAAACCAACTTGTTATAAAAATACTTACTTTGTAATTGTTGTCCGAATTAATCCACAACGAAATCTGTTAATACAGTACAAATCATCAATGTTATAAGGGCTCTGATTGGCCATAGCGTTCATTGTAACTCGGAACATGATTGGCTGCCGTAACCAAGAATAGGGTGAGTCTTGGTTCCAGCTCAGGACAAGATTGGCCAGCGTAACCAAGAAATAAAAAAAATCTTGGTTCCAACTCGAAACGTGATTGGCCGGTGTAACCAAGAATAACCACGAATTACAGGTGGCAGTATGCGCCACTGGCCCAGTCTGCATCAGCAGTGCTCATTAGCATGCTGCTTGGAAAGAGGACACGGCTCGGTCAACATGCAGTTCCTTCAACGCTTGCTGTGCTTTCTTGTCATGGCAAGTTGTGGTGTCGATAGGATGCTCTAACACAGAGCATGTGACAGTCCCTCCCAAGAAGAACTGTGATCCAGGCTCTGAGACTTTCTCTTCTCCAGAAGGAGGT